GGGTTTGAGATCGGTCTGCAACTGTTGGGGTGCCTGGCCTTGCCCCCCCCAACAATTGCTCTTGGGAAAGGTCACCCCTCGCCAGGGACGGTGAATTCCAATAACGCTGGTATAATTAGAACATGCAGTATTTAGATGCTTTTCAGCACAATTAAGTGGGGATAATTGGGTGAGCTATTTTCCGCGTGCTGGACATGCTTCCTCGCCAGCTTCCGTCCGTTCCCTGGAACTTGGTGCGGGGACAGTGCTCAGCTCCTGGCCACGCTGTCCTGACCCACTTGCCTCCGCGGCCTCTCTGTCCACGCACAGCAGCGTCTGCCTGGGGCTCCCAGGGGCCTCCAGGACCGAGACACGCAGCCAGCCCCCAGGTGCCCTGGTCCAGGCAGCCATGCCCGGCGGCCTTGCAGGGTTGACAGCATCTCCTGCTGACAAGGGAAGGCGCCGGGCCCCGGGGGTGGCGGGACGTGCATGCAGGCCCTCGGAGGGCTGGGCAGTCGTGTGGGCCTCGGGCCTGGGCTCCAAGGCAAGGGGAGAGCAGCCGGGCGTGGACGGGGTGGGGGACGCTCCACACAGCCAGGCTCTCAGGGAGCCAGGGGGCTGTGTGCGCGTCTCTCCCTGCAGAACACTCGTGGGCAGGCGGCGTGGACACCTGGGACAGGCGGGCATCCCTGGAGGCACCCTCCCATGGTGGAGGGCAGCTCAGATCTGGGGGAACCAGCCAGGTGCCGCCCCCAGGCCCTGGCTGAGCTCACACAGCCCTGGAGGCTGACCGGTGGGGACAGGCCCCCGGGCAGGCTGTCCTGCGAGGCCTGGCTCCTGATGCCCTGTGTCCCCACCGCAGGTCCTGCCTGGCCCCGGCCTGGGGGTTGCTGACACAGACGTCAGTGCGTGTCTGTAGCAGGGATGGGGTGTGTGTGGGTGGGTGTGTTTGCCTGTTCCTTGAGCTGTTCAGCTCTCGTGGATATAATTTAGGTTTTGTTTTTTCTGATCACAAATACTACGTGCAGTCTCAGTGAAAACCCTGGAGAACGCAGGAAACCGTAATGAACCCCCTTTCTTCCTGGCCCTGTGAGCAGCTGGCCGGCATCCTGCTCCGCCGCCCTTTCTGACAGCCTCTTCCTCCCTGTCGGTGGGAGTGCTGTGCGGGCGTGGAGGCGGGGGGACCCTGGGGCAGCACCCCCAGATTAGCCTGGGAGTGCGTGAAAGCCCCCGGAGCGTGTGAGAGCCTAGCTGAAGGAGCCCTGGTCCTGTTCTGCAGACGGGAGCGTCTGGAAGCCTGACCCTGGTAGAGAACGGTGTCAATGGCGGCCATCACCTTGGAGGGCGGGCAGCGGGCTGGGTCTGGGGCGGGCCACCCCCGGACCGGCTGACCTGTCCCGAGGTCCCTGGACACAGAGGGAGCGCCTGGTGGCTGAGCGAGCAGCCCCACACGGCCCTGCTGTGGACACCGCGAGGCACGTCTGCACGTGAAGGGCAGTCAGGGCCTGGGGAGGCACCCGGAGGAGCCCCGGTTCAGTTAGAGCGGAAGGGCCGCCCCCGGGGGCCAGGAGACGGGGTCTGCACCCCGCCCCCCGGCCAGACAGACGCAGCTGCCCTTCAGCCCCCGCCCACCCCCAGCCTGCGCGGGGCCCACAGCTACAGGAGAGCCAGCCCCTCTGACATTTAGGGGAGACTTGGAATCAAGAGCAGAAGGCAGAAATGAAAGGATTTTCTCGGTAAAGGTCAAAGTGGTTTCTCGTATTTTTGTGTAAAAACAGTCTGTGTTGAGCTCTGACAGGGCTAAGTGAGCAGGAGAACGGGGCCAGCTGCCCGGAGGGGCCACGTGGCGTGAGGAGGTGCCCGCGGCCGGGTGGGAGGCCATGTTCTGTGGGTCAGGGGGCCGGCCCGGCGGCGCCCAGCTCCTCCCGAGACGCCGCACCCTCCCTGGGGTCCCAGGCCCCCACCATGGCCCATGTGGGCCTGGACTGCCTCGGCCTCTGCTGGGCAGGCCCACAGAGGGGTGGCCCTCGCCCCCGCGAGCGCCCACCCGCACGTGCAGCTCAGGTCCTCTCGGAGCGTCCGTCGCCTACACGGGGGGCTCTCATCCCCCACAGAGGCCGTGCCCGCACCCCGAACCCCCCGGCTCCTCTGCACACCTCACGGCGGTGGCTCCCGCAGCACGCCCCCCGCGTGAGCCACCCATGGCGCTGTGTGCACAGGGCGTGTCTCGCTCCTCCCGCAGCTGGGTTGCCCCGTCTGTGGCCGCAGCGCGGGCTTGTTCGCCTGTCGGCGGTCATCCGTGTCTTGCTGTCGTGCTGAATGCTGCTGCCGTGGACACTCCCGAGCCAGCTCCCGTGTGGACCTGCTTTCACTTCTCTTGGGCAGGTGCCCAGGAGTGGCGTCGCAGGTTGCAGGGCTCTCTCCTGAGGAACCGCTGGGCGGTCAGCACCACGTCCACACCAGTGCGGTCCTTGCAGCCTGGGGCAGACCATCCCCGCGGGCCTGGGGCAGGTCTCACACGGACTTCACGTGTGTTTCCCTGGAGACAGACGGCATTGTGGACGTTTGTCTGCGCTGAGGAAGCGTCCGTGGGGGTCGCTCCCCTACTCTTTGTCACTTGTCTTTTTACCGTTGGTTGAAAGGGTCGCAGGTGCATTTTGCGCATGGTCCTGTAACAGACGCCTGGCCTGGGTGGGCGTGTGTTGCGGGGTCTCCACGCCTGGGAGGAGCGTGTCCGCCAGCCCCTGTGCGTGGGCCCCAGGCAGCTTTCTGGTGGCCGTCACGGGAATCCTGGTGGGGCGGGCGCCCGTGGACCAAGGCAGAGCCCCAGGGTTCAGCTGGCGGGTGGGTTTGGGGGTCTGAGGAGCTGCCTGGGAAGGAGGGGCCTCCAGGGAAGTGCATGTCACTGGGGTATCCCAGCCCTGGATTCTCTAAACGGAGCGGCGGCTGGTGTCCTCTGGGCAGGAGTGGAACTGAGCGGCTCAGGTGGGCAGGTGGCCGCTCCGTTGGGGGGGGGGGGCACCTGCCCTCGGTGGCCCCCACCCCCCTCCCCTCCCGAGCTGCCGCGCCAGCGCTCCCACCTCGAGGTATATGGCTGCAGGCCACAGCCTCCTGTCCAATGCTCGACGGCCTCTCCCCAGGCCTGCGCTCCCAGCTCTCCCAGACCTCAGCAGGCAGCCCCCGGGGTCCTCTCTCACCTGGGACGGGCTGGCTGGAGGGGAGACCCCTGGCAAGCAGCCTCCGCCTGCCCCTGGGCGCTGCCCGCAGGAGGGAGCGGTCACATGAGCCCTGCCCGAGGGCTAGGCACCTTTGGGCCTCCGTCCCCTCCAGTGGCCGAGCACCCGGGCTTGGCTCTGCTCAGACCTGCCTGGTGAGCCCGGCTAGCACTGAGACGTCTCCGAACGAGCATGTGAGGCTAGTCTGGGGGCCTGTGGCTCCCAGTGTTTAAAGGGAGGCCCGTCTTCCTTCCTGGCACTTCCTCAACTTCAGCTGATATTTAGACAAAGAAGCGTGGAAGGAATCAACCCCTTGGGTTCTCCAGGACGCATGGCCCCCACCTGCCACCTGCAGTAAGCCCTCCGGGGGGGGGTGGCCCCCCAGCACGCCCTCAGCGGGGAGCCCCTCCACTCCTGCCTGAAGCCTCCCATCCAGAAAGGATGGGATCTGAGCCTGGGCGGGTGGACGGGTGGGCAGCTGGGCGCCAGAGGCGGCCCACAGAGGCCCTGCCCTTGCCGTGCAGCCGGCCCGAGGGCGGTGAGGCCCGCCTCAGACTCCGTGCGGCCAGCTCACGGGGGCGGGGGCTGAGGGCAGCGGGAGCCGGGTGGGCTGACCTGCAGGAGCTGGTGAGCTGGAGGCCACACCCCCATCTACTTCTGGACCGTAGAGAAGGGGTGAGACCCTGCCCATGAGGCCCGAGGCTTGGCCTCGCCCGCGGGGACGCACCTGGACGCGGGCGGTGGCCTTGCCGCCCGTCCGCATCTGGACCTGGGGCCTTGGGGGGAGGTGTCTGCCCAGACCCGCACCTGCTGACGCGTGCGTGTCCCCCGCAGGCCGCAGGCCCCTCGGGCACCAAGATGCAGCTGCTGGAGACGGCGTTCTCACGGACCGTGCCGGCGCTCATCGAGCTGCACCTGCTGCGACAGGACAGCATCCCCGCCTTCCTCAGCGCCCTGACCCTCGACCTCTTCAGCCGCCAGACGCTGGCCTAGCCCCCGGCCCCCAGCCTCGGAGCGGGCAGCGGGCGGCCAGCAGGAGCCCCGCGGTCCGTTCCTCGGGGTCCCGGGCCGGCCGGCCCCCCAGGGCCCAGACCAGCTTCTGCCCCGATGGGGCCTCAAGCCTTGCAGCCCGGTGGGGACTGCTCTGAGCATCGCCCGCACCCCGCCCGGGCGCCCCACCCCAGCTCAGGGCCCAGGGGCGCACCTCTGGCCAGGTCAGGGGGTTCAGCAGCTCAGGGCGGCCCCCGCCCCGAGCCCCGAGCCCACGCCCGCTCTGCAGGGCAGGCCCACCTCCTCACCCCCCGTCCTGCAGGGCAGGTGCGGGGGGTGTTCTGTGGCCGGCTCCCTGCCCCTCCCCGCAGTGTCCGCTCACTGCAGCTTGCTCCAGCCCGGCCGTGCTGGGGCCAGGCAGGTGAGGCTGGGCGCCTGCGACGCCCCCAGCTCTTATGAAATAAAGGCCTCCTCAGCACCCCAGCCCCTCACCGTGTGTGCATCTGAGCCCCAGGGCCCCCGCATGCCCCAGGCGTGGGGCAGACTGTCCTTCTGTCCCTGCCCTGGGGGCCAGTCTGTGACCACAGACCCACCCGGGCACTGCCCACGGCGGGTTCCCGGGTCACCGCCGGGGAGGCGGGCAGGGCAAGGCTGATACTGGGCCCACCCGCTCCCAGGGCACAGCCCCAGAGCCCTGGGCGGAGCGGCCTGCGTGTCACCTCCAGGCGGGGCCGGCGGAGCCTGGGCCGCCCCCAATCCTGCTCTGCACTCAAGCCTGTCGTCACTGTCAGCTCCGGAGCTCAGACCTTGACTGTATCAGACCTTGACTTTTGGGACGTGGCCCGGCCCGGCCCGGCCCGGCCCAGCCCAGCCCAGGGTCACCGTGAGGTCGGCCCAGGCCCTCCTGCTGGAACCCGGAGCCCCCAGCTCGTCCGGCTGCACTGCAGCCTGGGGGTTGCCGTTCCCTCCTCCCAGATAAGACCGAGGCCTGGCGTGTGGATTGGCTTCCCAGGCGCCCAGCTGCTCCGAACTGGACTCTGGTCCAGCTGGGCCGTGCCGCTCCCCTCCCCTCAGATGCTCTGGGTGCCTCACGCACAGCCGGGCACCCAGCGCCAGCTCCTGGGGGGTGGGGGCCCGGCTTTGTGCCCGACACTCGTCACAGCGCTGGGGCAGAAGCAGCACTGCTGAGCCGGCGGGGGCGGGGACCCTGCTTAGTGAGGCTGGCAGACATCCAGTGGGTTTCCGCTCCCCACATCCCCAGCTCCCCGGGGCCCCGGACGCATCAGCGCAGCCCCAGGTGCTCTCCTTGGCTCTGTGAGCCTCCTCAGGCAGGTGGGCCCCCTACTGCCTCCCCTCAGGAGCCCCAAACCCTCGATGGGGACTTCCTGCCGCTTCACGGGGGGCGAGGTTCTGCAGGCGGGTGTCCGGGGACCAGGCTCTGACTCTGCCCCGTCTGAGCCCCCGTCATGGAGCGCCCCCTGGAGAGCTGGGCCCGACGCCCCTCCCGGGTGAAATGGCTGACCCTAGATGCTGCCAATGGTAGTAAGATGCTCAGATCAAGCCCCTAAAAAGCCCTGCAAGGCCCTTGTGCGCACCAGCACGCCCCCGCCTGCGGAGGGTGCTCACTAGGGCCGGCTCCCCGGTGGGGCACGCACCAGGGTCCGGGGTCCGCTGGCCAGGGGCAGGAAGAGGGTCACACAGGCCAGACGGTCCCGAAATGCGGGCCAGGGCGGAGGCACTGGGCATCTGACCCGGGGGTCACTGCGGGCCAATGGGGGTGCGCAGGCCAGGTGGGCACCCCCAGGGTGGTGGTCTCGGTCGCACGGCCAGAGCTATGCTCCCACAGTCTCCGCAGAAAAGGCGCTGGAAGGTTGGGGGCATGTGAGTCAGGCTGGGAGGCTGGGGTCACGCTCGTGCCAGGCCCGGAGTGCCACGGGCAATGCAGCCCCCAGGCCAGGGGCCCGCTCAGCCCCATCTTGCACTTCGTGCCCTGGGTCGCCCAGCACCACCTGTCCCCGCCTGCTGTCACCTCCTGAGAGTCGGCCCCCAGGGAGGGCTTCTCCTGGTGGAGCCAGGACTGGCCGTATCTTTGCAGGAGGACAGGGCGGGTGCCCGGCAGCTCAGCCTCCCCCAAGTCTAGCCTTATGTGAGCACACGGCCCTGGTCTCCCCCCTGCCCCAGTCTCCCCACCTTGGTCCACAGTGAGAAGGTCCCTGAGGCTGCTTCCAGGTGGGAAACCCACCCCAGGCCTGGACGACCGAAGCAGCGCCGGCTCAGGGCCAGCCCCAGGGTGACAATGCTTGTGCTCAGTTATGAGATTTCTGTCCCTGAAGCATCAGAAGGGGCTGACCCCCCCGCCCAGGGATGCGTCTGAGCAGGACGGGGCACAGAGGCCTCTGCTATCCTCCCAGTCAACTGGGTCACCGGCCGCCGAGCTTGCCCGCCCCCTTCCCCCCCGCCTGCCGGGGGCTCCGAGCGCACTCGCGTGGGGAGCTGGACCCCAGAAGGGTCTGGTTCTGGCAGACCCCCTCTGCCACCAGCTCGTTAGCGGGCACCGATGCTAAGGGGATGTTAAGCCGCTAATGACTAATTTTTAGGGATTAGTGCTGCAGCGATAAGCCGTAATTGCCAGGACAGAATGGGGTTTGGTGTGCGCCAGGCTACTTGCAGCGTCCCCCTGGGCTCCCAGGGAGGAGGGCACCGCCTGCCGGGCCCCTGGGGACCCCCGGGACCCCGCCTCCCCCTGCACCGGGCAGCTCGCTGGCATAAAGTGTGGTCTCTGCCAAGCTCTGGGAATGAACACGACCCCGATGTGGACCACAACCAGTGCATCACCCAGGAGGCGGTTAGACACACTGGGGCCTGCTGGGTCAGAATCAGCACGTGACGCGACCCCGTTCCAGTCTGGTAGGTGCTCCCCTCCCCGCCACGATGGGAACATCCCAGCGTGCAAATCTCCATCCCGCCTGTGAGCTGACTCCCATCCCACGGTGATCCTGCAGGCTGGATCTCATCAGAGGAGGAGGTGGAGGTTTGGAAAGGGCCTGAGTCCGTCCCAGGCCCGGCCCTCCTGGCAGGGTCAGCTGCCCCCACGACCCCAGCTTCTGGGTCACACGTGGGCTGTTTCCCTCGTGGTTCAGTGTCGCCAGGATGCCAGGGCCAAGTGAAGGCTGCCGGGCATCTGTCCCCAGGCAGCCTCAGAGGGGTGACCCTGAGGTCCAGAGCAGGACAGGCAGGGGTGTGTGCACACGCCCACATGCAGGACTGCATGTGTGGACCTGTATGCATGGGTGGCTGTGTCACGTGTCTGTACATGCATGTGCATGTACATGTGAGGACCAGTGGCTTTACTAAGCTGCTTAAACTCCTGCTTCGGGCCCAGAGAGGGGCAGGGCCTCACCCAAAGTCACACAGAACAAGGGGCCAACACCCTGTGGCCCGTCTCCTTGTGGCTTCCGTTTTCCTCTCATTCTCTGTACTTTCAGCACATAAAGAAACGCCCCAGCAGCAGAAAAGTCGAGTGTGAGGAAGCCCCCCGGCCCCACCCAGCTCGTCCACCTTCGGGGGCTGCACACACCTGACATGCAGTGCGGCGTTCAGTCTCCCTGGGCTTCTCTGTGCTTTTAGAATAACTGGGTGGTTCTGCAGCTTGGATTTTTTTTTATCACTTAACAATTGTCTTGGAAATTTTCCATAAAAGCATCTACTGATGTACTTCACTGGATTTTTGTTGTTATTTCCAAAACACTTAAGGAGTTTTATTGAAAGCAATAACCTACAGAAACACCAGATTCTCATTTTAAAGTGAAATCGACAGCATCTCTCATAACTTCCACACCTCTGAGCCATGTTGGTCATTTAAAAACAAGCAAGTGCCAAAACAAACAAAAACCAATTTCCAAATTAACAACTCTTGCCTGTAGTCCTTTTTCTTGTGGTTCCAGTCCCCACCCTGTTCACGGCCCCAGGTTTTCCAGAGTGAGCAGAAGGTCTGGGGTTTTCCCCAGCTGGTTATTATTTCTGAGAACTGGACCCCGTGGCAAGCCTCAGACACGCCAGCCCTGGTCTCCCCTTCCCCAGCATCCCCCCAGCAGGGGTTTCTTCCCAGAATCTCACCGCCTCGTCCTCCCTTGTGGGCGGAGCTGTCCCCCAGATTCATCTGTTGAGTTCCTACCTCTGTACCTCACAGCATGACTGTTTGGAGACAGCCTTTCAAAAGGTGACTGAGTTAAAACGAGGGTTTAGGCTGGGCCCTCATCCCGTAGGACTGGTGTCCTTGTAAAAGGAGATCAGGACACGGAGGCACCAGGGATGACCACGTGAGGATGCAGGGAGAAGCTGGCCGTCTGCATGCTGAGGACAGGCTTCTGCAGGAACCAGCCCTGCCCACACCTGCATCTCAGATGCCCAGCCTCCAGGACTATGAGAAAACCGTCTGATGCTGAAGCCGCCCAGGCTGTGGTTCCTTGTTATGGGGGGGGCGGCGGTGGGGGGGGCCCTGAGCTGACGCGTGCCTGAGCCTGTATCCTTCCTGTGGCATTTAATAATACCACCACCTGACATTTCCTTTTGCATGTTTCACTTACAATATATGTATATTACATATATATACATTTTCATCAGCTTCAGTGCCTTCTCAAGAACTTGTAGAACCACCCTGATGACAGAGATAACATGCAAGCCACATATGTATGTAATTTGAAATTCTTAGTAACCACATTTAAAAAGGTGAAATTTTAATGAATCTATTTAACCTAATATAGCAAAAATTTTATTTCAACATGGAATCCATATAAAAATTAGTTTTGCAGTATATACAAACATTGAATCATTGTGTTGTTGAAACCAATATGTCAGTTATATCTTAACTTTAAGATACGAGTTCTCTAAATAATATATATACATATAAATTAGTGAGAGTCACTTGACCATCTCTAGGCACCGAGTCTTGAAAACCCAAGCCGTGTTTTACTCTTGCAACCCATCTGGGTTCCAACCAGCCATGGTCTCAGTGGCGCAGGCGCAGAGGCCACCAATATGGCTCCCCGCCCCCACGGCTCTCCAGCACCGCGGACAGGGCCCAGGTGGTGAGGGTCCCGGGCATCTGGCGGCCCTGCTGGGGAGCCATGGTGTCCGACTGATGAGAGAAGTGGCTGTCCCAGCAGGTCACCTGGAGCTCTTGGAGACGGCAGAGCTGTGGGGCTTGGCCCCCACGAATACAGTGCACACCTGGGTCCAGGCTCCCTCAGGGGGTCCCTCCGGGGCCCCCCCGCTTCCCCATGAGCCAGGCCCAGGCAGCGCACACTCCCTGGCCCGGACCCCAGGCTCCGCCCTTACCTGAGCCTGTCTCCACATTGGAAAAATGGCCCGACAGCAGAGCCAGCTGTGGGCCCCTGACAGCCGCCCCAGGGCCCCTGCCCCCGTGGGCTCCACGTGTGGCCTGTAGTGAGACTATAATCAGCTCAATTACCAGCAGCCTTCGTGGCTTTTTTCTTTGTTTCAAACTTAAAATGGAAATTTACTTTTGCACCAGGTTTACAGGCTGTTAAAGGAATTCATTTAATCAAACCCCAACACCAAGTCCTTGAAAATGAGAATTAAAAAAGGTCTGTATTTGCATATTCATGTTTTTAATAGGGTTCAGAAGGTATATTTGCAACTGATGAAAAGGATTAATTAAACCTAATTTGCATTGGTGGAGCATCTTAACCCCTTCCAAGCTGGCCCGAGGCTGGGAGGGCCCAGGCGGGCCAGAGGGGCCCAACCTGGCCGGGCAGGTGGCCCAAGACCTGCCGCTGGGCCACTTCTTGGCTCCACGTGTCCTGAGACCCGAGGTCCGCGCGCGGGTCCGGCCCACGGCGTTCATGGCAGCCACGCCGAAGACGTAGCTGGTAGGTTTTACTTAAAAACAAACACATCTGAGCGTTTTCTTTGTAACATTCATAACCGGTCATTGTCAAATATTTGGAGAAGGTGGGAGAGTCTGGGAAGAAAGTGAAAGTCCCTACCTTTAACCCACGGGCAGTCACTGCACAAGGCGGACCGTTGTCTTCCGGCCCGCCCCCGCGGGCGTGCGTGTGCGTGTGCGTGCGTGCGCACGGTGTACGTATTCATGCACAGTGCGCATATGCGTGTGCCTGCATGGTGTACGTGTGCGTGCGCGCGGCGTGCGTGCGCGCGCCTGGTGTACGTGTGCGTGCGGTGTGCGTGTGCGTGCCTGGTGTACGTGTTGTGCGTGCCTGGTGTACGTGGCGTGCGCGCTGTGCGACTGCCGCGAGGCCGCGAGGCCGCGCGAAGGACTGGGACGGGCGAGAGTGGCCGCAGGGCAGGGCCGCGCGCAGAGCCGCGAGTGGACCGGGAGCCGCGTGGGTGCACCGCGGGCTGCCTCCCTGTCCGTGTCGTTTGCTCGCCGGCCTCTCGGCTTGCGGCGCCAGTTGTGCGCCCACCGCCCCCCAAGTCCCCCACTCTGAAGCCCTTGCGCCGAGACAACATCCCGCAGATGGTGTGGCTCAAGCAGACGCCGGTTTCCCCCAGACCTGGTGCCGGCGGGGCTGGTTGAGGCCTGCCCGGCCCCTATGTGTCCCCACCCCACCCCCCCACCCCCCCCCCCCCGCTTCTCGGAAGGCCGCGTCCCCCCACCCGCGGGAGTTGGTTCACCTCAGCCCCCCCCGAAGGCCTGTGAGAACGTCCGCATTTGGGGTCGTTCAGCCCACCGCGGTAGGGCTTACCTAGTTAGGAAGGCGCACAAAGCAGTCTAAGCGGATCTGTATCTTTAGCGTCTGGTTTTCATTAAACATTTAGATGCGTTTGATTAAAGTTTATAATCAATACCTAAATATCTGGCAGGTTTTCTTGGTTAATTTTTTAATGGGATTCACTAATTGCACGAGTGTTTAAATATTTAGGAAAAGATGCTTAATAGATGGTGAGATGAGCGAGGTGGTCTCTGGCCACCCACGAAGGGCGGAGCTGGGGCAGGCCGAGCACACGCCCATCCCGAGGGCGGCCACGGCACCAGGCAGGACAGGTCCTTCCGCCCCCCGCCCCCCACCAGGGCTCCCGGGAGCGCCCTCCTAGCTTCAGGTCTCCAGTCGCAGGCAGCTTGCTGCTCCGGGGGAAACAGGAGGGGCTGCAGAAGGGGTGGGAGGGGTCGGGATTCCAGACGTGGAAAGGCAGGAGCGGGACAGGGCCGCTGCTGGAGGAGAGAAGGAGCGCAGCGGGCCGGGTCTCAAGTCAGAGACCCGCAACAGGCAGCGAGGCCCTGAGGGGGCGGCTGCGGGCTCCCCGGGGGAGACCCTGGGGGGGAGGGGACGTCCTGGCCGTCGTGGGGACACGTCTGCAGTAAAGGAGGCCGAGCTTCCACAGGGCCGGCTCCTGGGAGGACCCCAAACCCACAGTTTCCTGGAGTACCTAGGCCAGAAGGTGGGCCTCATGGGGGGAATCCTGATGCCAGGAGGCGGCAGACCAAAGCCAGGGTTCGAGGAGAGCGCCGTTCTGAGCTGGGAGTTCGCATTCACCGAGTGGCCTTTTGTGTGGTAAAGCAGACACCCCCAGGTACCTGGGGCTCAGAAAGCCCGCCCAGCTGCAGTCCTCAGAGGCCTGGCCCAGTAGTGGGGCAGACTGCACTCGAGTCCGCAGGGAACGGGCCCTGGCACTAGGCTCTCAAGTTGGCTTCAGTGGAACCACGTCTGCTTCTGTGAGTCTGTGTATTACACTCAGTCCAGTGGCTCAGTCGTGTCCGACTCTGCGACCCGAAGTACTGCGCCACCAGGCTTCCCCGTCCACCGCCAACTCCCAGAGCTTGCTGAGACTCGTGTGCATCGAGTGGGTGACGCCGTCCAGCCGTCTTGTCCCCGGTCGCCCCCTTCTTCTCCCGTCTTCAGTCTTACGCTGAATATTAATTGTTCCTCTTGAAAGTGAACACACAAGGCATGCAGTTGTCACGATGCTTGGGGGCGTTCAAGCTTCCGCTTGTGTGTGTGATTGATTTGGCCATGCAGTATGTGATACAGGCCAGGGAATAGGTCAGGGGGGCGTGCACCTCAGGGAGCCCCCCCCACATGCTCACGGTGGTGCTGGGAAGCGCCCCGGCCCCCTCCCCTGCACCCTGGGTTTGGAGCGCATCTGTCGGCTTGCTCTGCCTGCCACTCGCTTCACGCTGCACGACGTGTGGTTTGGTGTTGCTTGCTATCGTGCCTGTTGGTGATCGACGCAGCTTTCCCCACTCAACACAGTGTTTCTAAGGCTCGTCTGCATTGTCTGTAAAATTCCATTGCATAAATACACCCCGAAAATGTACTTTTCCATTCACCCGTCAAACGGACGTTTGGACCATTTCCAGTGTTTTGCTTCTAAAAGCAATGTGCTGTGAGCAACCCGGCTCATCTCCTTGGGCTCAGAAGCAAACATTTCTTTAGAGTTTACGAGAAGCGGAGCTGCGGGGTCATGGCGTCTGCAAACGCTGTTTTACAAGATGAAGCCTAATTATTTTCCAAAGAGCCTGGAGCCATTTGCGTTCCACCAGCAGGAAAACCACATCCCCAGCGGTGGTCCCATGGGTGTGGCAACTCGGGGGTCTTCATGTGCGTTTCCTCCAGCTGGCAGAGGAGTGGGCATCTTTGCCCGTGTCTGTTAGTGAGAAGCTGGTTTCCATCCCTTACCCATTTTTCTGTGGCTCTTTTTCCTACCAGTGTTTACACCCTGATATTGCGCCTTTGCTACTTTATGTCTGGCGTCATCCCCTCCCACTTCGTTACTGACTTTTATCCCCTCTGTTTTTTGATGAACAGAATCCTCGATGTCAGTGTAGTTACATTTATCAATCTGCTCTTTGACGCCTGGAGTGTTTGTGTCTTGTTTAAGCAGGCTTCCCGCCTAGGTGAGGTCATAAAGATAATCCCCCACTTTGTCTTCTACAACTGATTTTTATTTATGGCTTGAGACAGAAATCCAATTTCATTTTTTCCACATGAATAACTAATTGTCTTGGTAGCATTTGTTAAATGGTCTCCTCTCTCCCGGGGGTCTTCCCCCCACCTCCTCCGTCATAAATCAGGTTCCGTGAACCAGTAGGTCTCCTCCTGGGTCACTAAGTCTGTCGCGGGATTAATGCCAAAGTATCTCAATTACTGACCTGCTCACATAGCAAGGTTGGGATGGAAGGGGCCACAGGGGACCTTCTGTGCTTGTGGTAAGCTTTTTGTTTTCTTAAGAGAGAATATTTCTTTTTGCTGCGTGTATGATTTTTCTTACACACTGAATCAACTTGTGCGTGTGCACATCACCGTGCCTAATCACGCCGGCTCACACGTTACGTAACACGGGGTTGTACACAGACAGCCACAGTTACAGGCTTTCGTGTTACCAGCAGAGCCTTTCTTCAGGGTGAGAAAGTTCCAGTCTCTCCCCCTGTCCCTGGGAGATTTTGTCATGGACATTTTTATTGAAGCATAACAAATATGAATAAAGATGCACAAATGAGTTCTCAGTAAATTCACTGAATTCTCTGGGTTTCCAGCGCCCGCACGAAACGCTGCCAGGACGTCAGAAACCATCGCGGGCCGGCTCCCAGTCATGGCCCCCCACCCCCCAGAGAGACTGCCCGCACCGGCCGCAGGTTTGCCTGTTCTTGAACCCGAGCGGTGTGCTTCGGTGTGTGACTTCTGCTCAGTTTAACACACCCAACCAAACTGCTGCCCAGGGGTTCCTCTTCCCAGGGTTTTTATTAGGGGAAAACATTTAGCAGAGATGAAAGAATTGTCCAGGGAACACACACTCTCACCGCCTCGATTCCGCCATTAATATTTTACTGTGTTTGGTCTGCCGCATCCCTGTGTGCCCGCCACTCCATCCGTCCGTGCTTCTTGACGCGCTTGAGAGTAAGGCGCAGACGTCAGCACCCTCCTCACCGGGTAGTTCAGCGTCTGTGAGGTTCACCAGGGTTCCCTCCGTGTCTGCAGTTTCTTTTGTCCAGAGTCAGATTTACCCCGAGACGTCACCCTTCAGTGACGGCCGCGTACACGTGTGAAGCCCCGGGGCGCGCAGGGTTGGCGTGGATCTGGAGCATCCCTGCTGCCCCCAGCGGCAGCAGCGCTCTGGTTTGGCCACTTCGCTGGGACTTAACTGATGCCTACAGGCCCTGGGCATCCAGACTCGGCCTTAGTCCAGCTCCTGGACACCGGGTGTCCGGCCTCTTTCCCCGCTTCCACCCTGATGAGTGCTCTCTGACTGCGGCCTTGTTAAGCGTTCTGGAGGGTTCCATCCCCCACCCCCCGTCAGGAAGCAGGAGGGGATCCTAGCCGACATCCAATGCGAGGAGCTGGACCCAGGACGGGGACCCTGGAATCTCCACTGCATGGACGGGTCCACAGGCACCCCACTCTGGGTCGGTCGCAGCCCAGGCTCCGTGACCAGCCCGGCGGCTGGGGCAGGGTTAGGCTTTCTCTATGCTGAGCTGCGATGCTCTGCGCTGGGCTGACGTCTGTCCAGCCGCCTCCTCTCTGGGAGGTCTGGTGTCCACTCGTCACGGGACAGAGCGACAGCTCTAGGCTCCTTCCAGGCAGGGAGAGTTGTCTTTCTGCCCGTTTTTAAATCCGGTTGCATTCCTTTTTCTTACTGGTTTGTGGGACATTCTGAGTGTGAATTCCTTGTCAGATGTGTTACAAATAATGTCTCCCAGACTCTGGGCTTGCCTATTTATTTTCTTAATAATGTCTCCTGATGAACAAAAGTTTGCAGTTTTAATTATCTCGTTTATCATTTTTTAATGGTTAGTGCTTTTTGCATTTTGTTTCAGTCAGCTTTGTCTAGCCCAAGGGAATGGGATGTTCTTCTATATTTTCTTCTAGAGACTTTGTTATTTAGCTTTTATGCTTGGATATATGGCACACCTCAAGTTAGTTTTATGTATGGTGTGGGGTCGGGATTCATTTCTTTGGTTGAATGCCCATTACTTTGGAACCCTTGCCTGGAAAGTGCATCCTCCGCCTCTGCCTGTGCCATCGGCCGGGGCTCTGCCATCTTTTCCACTGATCACCGGTTCCATACACTCTGAATTACTGTACATCTCTATTAAGCCTTGAGATAAGGTATCTAGTAAGTTTTGCTAAATTCATTATCGATTCTAATAAGTTGTGGATTATTTTGGATTTGCTATTCTCACAGTCATCTCCTCAAATAAAGAGAGTTCACTTCCTTATATCTGATTTTCATCCTTTTTGCTATCTTTTGCCTCATTGCATTAGCCAGGATCTACTGCACGGTGTTAGGTAGAAACAGTGGTTGTGGGTGATCTTACTTTGTTTACAAGGCGGGCAACAGTTCACCGTTGATATGATGTTACCTGTAAGTTACTTTGATACCCTTGTTTGACTTAAGAAAGTATTGTGCTATCTATGATTTTTGGAGCTTTTTATTATGAAAAGTTGTGGTATTTTTGCTCTTCTTTCATTTCTATTGAGGTAACCATATGGCTTTCCTCTTCTGCTCTATTGATATGGTAAATAACTTTTTTTTTAAGTGTTGAAGCAACCTTTGATTCCTGGGGTCAGCCCACTTGGTTATGATATACTAGACATTTTTAGTCATCCTTGCATTCAGCTTGCTGGATTTTTTTAAAGAGGATTTTTGAGTCTACCTTAATGAGGCATATTCTGAAATTTTTCTGGGGTGTCTTTGATTTTATCATCAGAATAACAGTGACCTCATAATATGAGTGTGAAGTGATTCCTGCTCTTCCTGCTTCTGAAAGTGTGTGGAAAGAAAAACTTCTTACGCTCAGTCGTGTCCGACTCTTTGCAACCCCATGGACTGTAGCCCACCAGGCTCTTCTCTCCATGGGGTTCACCAGGCAAGAATGCTGGAGTGGGTTGCCGTTTCCTCCTCTGGGGGATCTTCCCACCCAGGGATCAAGCCCACGTCACCTGCATTGCAGGTGGATTCATTACCCGAGCCTGTAGACTGGGGTTATTTCCCCCTTGAATGTTTGGTAGGATTCACCAGGGAAGCCATCTAGGCCTGGAGCCTCACTTGTGCCCTGTTTTAGTGTGCATCACATTTCTGTGACAGATACAGGGCTGCCTGCATCGCATTTCTGTGACAGATACAGGGCTGCCTGCATCGCATTTCTGTGACAGATACAGGGCTGCCTGCATCGCATTTCTGTGACAGATACAGGGCTGCCTGCATCGCATTTCTGTAGCAGATACAGGACTGCATCGCATTTCTGTAGCAGATACAGGACTGTCTGCATCGCATTTCTGTAGCAGATACAGGACTGCATCGCATTTCTGTAGCAGATACAGGAATGTCTGCATCGCATTTCTGTAGCAGATACAGGACTGTCTGCATCGCATTTCTGTAGCAGATACAGGACTGCATCGCATTGCTGTAGCAGATACAGGACTGTCTGCATCGCATTTCTGTAGCAGATACAGGACTGTATCGCATTTCTGTAGCAGATACAGGACTGTCTGCATCGCATTTCTGTAGCAGATACAGGACTGTCTGCATCGCATTGCTGTAGCAGATACAGGACTGTCTGCATCGCATTGTTGTAGCAGATACAGGACTGTCTGCATCGCATTTCTGTAGCAGATACAGGACTGTCTGCATCGCATTGCTGTAGCAGATACAGGACTGTCTGCATTGCATTTCTGTAGCAGATACAGGACTGTCTGCATCGCATTTCTGTAGCGGATACAGGGCTGTCTGCACCGCATTTCTGTAGCGGATACAGGGCTGTCTGCATCGCATTTCTGTGACAGATACAGGGCTGCCTGCATCGTATTTCTGTGACAGATACAGGACTGTCTGCATCCCATTTCTGTAGCAGATACAGGACTGTCTGCATTGCATTTCTGTAGCAGATACAGGACTGTCTTCATCGCATTTCTGTAGCGGATACAGGGCTGTCTGCACCGCATTTCTGTAGCGGATACAGGACTGTCTGCATCGCATTTCTGTAGCAGATACAGGACTGTGCATTGCATTTGTGTAGCAGATACAGGGCTGTCTGCATCACATTTCTGTAGCAGATACAGGACTGCATCCCATTTCTGTAGCAGATACAGGACTGTCTGCATCCCATTTCTGTAGCAGATACAGGACTGTCTGCATCGCATTTCTGTAGCAGATACAGGACTGTCTTCATCGCATTTCTGTAGCGGATACAGGGCTGTCTGCACCGCATTTCTGTAGCGGATACAGGACTGTCTGCATCGCATTTCTGTAGCGGATACAGGACTGTGCATTGCATTTGTGTAGCAGATACAGGGCTGTCTGCATCACATTTCTGTAGCAGATACAGGGCTGCCCGCATCACATTTCTGTAGCAGATACAGGGCTGTCTGCATCGCATTTCTGTGGCAGATACAGGGCTGTCTGCATCGCATTTCTGTAGCGGATACAGGGCTGTCTGCACCGCATTTCTGTAGCGGATACAGGACTGTCTGCATCGCATTTCTGTGGCAGATACAGGGCTGTCTGCATCACATTTCTGTAGCAGATACAGGGCTGTCTGCATCGCATTTCTGTGGCAGATACAGGACTGTGCATTGCATTTGTGTAGCAGATACAGGGCTGTCTGCATCACATTTCTGTAGCAGATACAAGGCTGTCTGCATCGCATTTCTGTGGCAGATACAGGGCTGCATCACATTGCTGTAGCAGATACAGGGCTGTCTGCATCGCATTTCTGTAGCGGATACAGGACTGTCTTCATCGCATTTCTGTAGCGGATACAGGACTGTCTGCATCGCATTTCTGTAGCGGATACAGGACTGTGCATTACATTTGTGTAGCAGATACAGGGCTGTCTGCATCACATTTCTGTAGCAGATACAGGGCTGCCCGCATCACATTTCTGTAGCAGATACAGGGCTGTCTGCATCGCATTTCTGTGGCAGATACAGGACTGTGCATTGCATTTGTGTAGCAGATACAGGGCTGTCTGCATCACATTTCTGTAGCAGATACAGGGCTGCCCGCATCACATTTCTGTAGCAGATACAGGGCTGTCTGCATCGCATTTCTGTGGCAGATACAGGACTGTCTGCATCGCATTTCTGTGGCAGATACAGGGCTGTCTGCATCGCATTTCTGTGGCAGATACAGGGCTGCCCAGTTTATTTTCCCTGGAATGAGCTTCGGTGGCTCGTGTCTCTCGAGAGGCATGGCGGTCTCAGTTACGGGATTTCTGAGGGTAAAGTCGTGTGCAGTGTCCCCTTAGAAGTCTGCAGGGCCGTGACGACGTCCCTTCCTTCTTTGTGATGTTGGCAGTTTATTATTCTTCCTGCTCCTGTTTCTCCTCCTCCTCAGGCTAAAGATTTGTTGATTTTATTGACCTTTTCAAAGAACCAGGTCTTCATTCCATTGATTTTTCTCTGTTGTTTTTCTCTGCTCATGTTCGCTCATTTTGGCTCTTTTAAAAAATTTTTTGCTTCCTGCTGCTTGCTCTGGGGTTAATTTGCTTTTATTTTTCAAGTTCTGATGTGGATCCAACCAAACAAAAACCATGCCGTAGTCTAAACAGGGGAAGTGTGACATAGAGAAACTAAAGAGTGGGTTGGGGAGACTCCGTGGGGCGGGGAACTCGAGGGGCCCGAGGACTCAGGGGACAGACTTGGGAGCTCAGGCCCCCCTGAGGAAGGTGGGGTTCCCCACGGGGGGAGGAGAGTTTGCTGCTTTTCTGGGCAGTGGGCAGCCGGGCAGGCCTGGGGCATGTGGCCCCAGCCCCCTCGGGGACGGTCTGGGCGGCCGCGCAGGCCCTGGGGAGCTGGGAGCGGCGGGGGCCCTTGGCGTCTGCGCTTCCCCACTCTGACCGGCCAGCCGCCCAGCGTCACGGGCTGGACCCCCTCTCGAGGCAGAAAGCTGGGGGCTCGGGGATCAGTCTAGGAGATGCTGTGATGACTGGGGTTTACTGAGGAGACAAGTATGTTCTTGTCACTTTTCGTTCAAGCAGAGAATAGAATTCTTCAGTCCTGTGTAGCATTTAGAAAGATTGACAGTCTGTTGAAACACAACAAAAAAATCAGTGTTTGTATCTCAACTGTATTCTCAAAATGTAGTGCAGTATAACTTCTGTTTAATAAGCATTTTATAATTAGACTTTTGAAATATTCTCTTAAAGAAGTCTTGAATCAAAAAGGAAATAAAGAACTGCACTTAAATTCTATAATGATGAAGGGAATGTCAGATGTTTAATTATGAGATTCAGCTAAGACTGTGAGGGGAGAAAACACTATAGGATTAAAGGATTCCATTGTTGAACAGAAAATAATGAAAGCCAAGAACTTGGAAAGACACCAAAACATGCCTAAAAAAAGAAATGAGAATAAACGGAAAGCATGTTCCATTAAAAAGATCATTAGTGACACGTGTAGACCCTGCAGCCAGTCCTGGGAACCCAGGCTGACGCGCGGAGGCGGTGTCGGGTCTCTGGCAGGCTCAAGGCGTCTGTGCCCGTGCGAGGCCTGCAGGTCTCTGCGCCGCCGTCCATCAGGGTGGGCACTTCGGCCTGGCTGGAAGCCGCCGGCAGGGGCCCTGCCATCCCCGCAGGTGTGAGCTGTGTCTCGGGGTCCGGGGCCGCCAGGAGGGCCGCAGTCAAGGTGGGGTCCGCGTGGGAGCTGCGGGTCTCAGCCGAGGCCCTGATGGAAATGGAATGCGGACTCTCGGGCCCCACGGTGGACGCTCTGAGTCAGTCTCCGCGCCGGGGCTCTGATGGAGAGAGCCTCCCGGAGGCGCTGCTTGAGACCCGAGCTGACTCCTGTAATAAGAGGGGGTTCTGGACCCGGGAAACACGGGAGCGGGACTGGAGGGGTGCAGGTGCCCACGGCTGAAAGGCTCTGACATGGCTGTCCTGGGCCCAGAGGGGCAGGGCACCGAGCCTGGGATGCGGGTGGGGCCTGACGTCAGGATGCCGCCGGGGCTGCCCTCTCCCGAGCCTCAGGCCTGCAAGCGGCCCAGGGGCCGGCTCTGCCATGGCGTCAGACCTGAGTGGTGCGCGCTGTGGGACCCCAGATGGCAAAGTGCCAGGTGGGGCCTGAAGCGGCCCCGTAGAGCCCCCGGGACCTGCCCGAAGCAAACCCGCCCCCCGAGCACCCCCACGGCAGGCCACGGAGAGCCTCCCCGCTCAGTGCCAAGCGTGAGCTCGTTCGAGTGTTTATGTAACATGCAGGTGACCGTGTGGGTCTTTAAAGTCACAAAGCATCCAAGGAAGGAAACCCCCAGATAACAAACAGAACTTGGTCCGTAGAGACACAAGTGTTGGTGGAAGGGGCACGTTGCTTTTTTCCGGGGGCTGGTGACCTGGGAAGACAGACGGAGGCCTGCTGTCCGAGGGCAGCAGACGGGTTTCCAGACCACGGTGCAGGTGCCGCGGCCCGAGGGCGCCTCCCGCACGAGTCTCGGGTTGCTTGGCGTCCACCCGGCTTCTGGCCTCACGTGGTCTGGGGTCTCCGTGCTTGTGGGCAGCAGTTTCCGCACGGGGGGCCAGGTCTGCTTCCTACAGACAACTCAGGGACGTGTCCGACTTCTCCCCGTGCCTCTCGGGGAACTGACGGTTCGGTGACTCGGGCTGGTTTGTCATCTCAGCTGTCGCCGCCTCCGGGCCCAGCAGCCCGGCCTTGTTTCTGCATCCACACGTTCCCCAGTCATTTCCTGTCCAGCCGCCGTCTGAGGCCTGGGCAGGCCTGGGAGACCACAGCTGTCCTACCGACAGGAGGCAGGCGGAGGACAGGGCCGGGGGCTGTCCCGGGAGGGCCCGTCACGTCCTGCTTGGTTCCAGCCCCGCCTTTCCCCTCGTAATCCTCAATCCCGGGGGAACAGGTGTGGAGCAAGAAAGGGATAACGTTTTGGATGGAGGAGTTAATCGTAAACTTGGCAGAGGAATGCAGTTTGGGAACTCGGTTTTGGAAGTACACAGAGATTCTGAACTTGAATGTACCTATTAGCAAGACTTATCTTATTAATATCAAGAAAACAAGTTGCAGAGCCACATGGCGTAATTGACAAACCCACCAGCATAATAGACAGAACAAGCAGATAAACATCAGTGAGGATTTAGAAGATGTGAACAACAAAAGGAACAAATTTGATCTACGAGATTTTTATAGAACTCTGCATGCAGTAATTGGAGAATATACTTTCTTTTTAAGTGCGCAAGGAACATTATAAAATTGGCTGCATTAGGTCATAAATCCAGTCTCAGCAGACAGAAGGAGTGAATGGCAGAAAGCGCGTCCTCTGGTCACAGCGTAAGGAGGCAGGAGACCAGTGAAGATTAGGGGGCTCTCATTCCTGAAACTCATCTGGAAATTTAAAAAGCATACTTCTAATGGCACATAGGTTAAAAAGAAAGTCTCATAATGGAAATTTTAAAATGCTTAGGGCTAAATAATAAAAAAAACAAAAGACGGTAATGAACGTGGTACTGTGTGCTGCTTAGAATGTGATTTATGGTCATAAATGCATATGTTGGAAGAAAAAATCTGAAAATTAATGAATTAAGTGTCTGACTTGAAAAGTTAGCAAACAGTGGTGATTCCCTGGCACTTCAGTAGTTAGGACTCCACGCTTTCACTGCCAGTCCTGGGAACTAACATCCCATAAGTGGCGTGACATGGCCAAAAAAAAAAGTGAGAAAATAACAACAAAGTAAATCCAAAGAGAATGGAAGGGAATTTTTTTTTAAAGAATTTAATGAACTAGAAAATTAAGATGGAAGGGGCAGAAATGACAAAGATGAAGTTGTTTTTTTAAAGACTAATACAGCTGATAACTGCTTATGAGACTGATCAACTTTCAAAAAGATGAAAAATGCCAATAAAACTATTAGACTTGGGAAAGGGATATTACTGCAGATGACAGGAGAGATTTAAAAGTTAATAAGGGAACATTATGAATATCTTTCTGCAAATAAATTTTAAAATATAGATGAAATGACAAAGTTTCCAGGAAAATGCGTATTACCAAAACAGATTCAAAAGCTGCCACCTGAACTGTGCTATAATAACAACGAAAATTGAATCAGTATTTCAGAAATCTTCCCATAAAATAAGAACAAGCCTCAGCCTCTTTTATGGGCAAGTTCTAGCAAAACCTTCAAGGCACAGATGATTCCAGTCCTTGATTCCAGGTCTCTGGGACCAGAAAGCAGTCACTCCCTGGCTAGATGTGTGAGGCTGGAGAACCTTTATGCCTAAGTGGATAGGACGGTGAGGGACAGGAAACCCAATGACACTCTCTAATATACGCTCAACTTTAAAAATCTGTCGCACATTATCACCAAGTCTGGTTTATCCCTGCAGTGAGAGGGAGCTTTGACCCTGGAAGGTGGTCTCTGCCTTTCTCCTTGATGCTGAAAGAGAAGAATCTTTGCCCACCTCAGTAGGTGAAGGGAAGGCATTTAAGACAGAAAGGAACAGCCACCCGTGACAAAATCCCTAGAAGCACAAAGTTTCCTTCACCCAAAACCTTGGCAGCACTAACAGTGGCAACTCATCAGAGGCACACTCGGGGTTTCCATCGAACTTAAGAGACCGGTTCTAGAATTTGTGTGGAAGTTGTGGGACGAGAGGAGCCAGACAGTCCTGAGGAGAAGCGGGTGACGAGAAGAGTGACAAAGCTTGTTGATGTGTGTCTGTGCCGCGGACCACAACACGGGAGTCAGGGTAAATGAAACTCAGCCACACACGCCAATGGACGAGTCTTAAAAGTGGAATAAAAAAGCAAGTTGTCAAAGAATCGACATACTGTGACATCATTTTATGTCTAAAAATAATTTTAAATACTGTCCTGAGGGTACACACGAAAGTAGCCCAACCCAAGGAGAGAAACTGTGATGAAAATAAAGATTAGCTCAGACTGTGGCCACCCTGGGGGCCGGGGGACGGGAGGAGGGGTGGAGCGGGGGCGAAGCAGGCGGCCAGGTGTGTGTTCTGTTAGCAGACATGATATACGTGCATTATGTGTTGTGCGTGTGTCAGATAGTCTGAGGGAAAAGGAAAAGATACGGGAATTCATAAGGCCCCAGTAAGGTAGCTGGTTAAACAGTGTGTGTCCTGAGTTCTGGTGCCAGAATCCCAACCGTGGAGTAAATAGTCGCCATAACTGCTGATCCAACTACAGTTTCTCTCTCACATCAATTGCAATGAAAAATTCCCAAGAGCGTATGAAACGCAACCGTCTGAGATCTGCGAAGAGTATCAGGGGTACCGATGGTAGGCTGAGACGGTAGACTTCATTCTTTCTAATTTTATTGGCACATAGTTGACTTAAAAAGTTGTGTCAGTTTCTGTTGTAGAGCAGAGTAGCTCAGTCATGCATATATATCCTCTTTTTCATATTCTTTTCCATTGTGGTTTATCACAGGGTATTGAACAAACTGCCCTGTTTACACAGGAGGACCTTATTGCGCATCCATACATATATAGCAGTTTGCATCTGCAGACCCCAAACTCCCAGTCCTCCCCCCCACTCCCTTCCCCCTGCTGGGCAACCACCAGTCTGTTCTGTTTCCATGAGTCCCTTTCTGTTCTGTAGATCGGTTCATTTGGGTCTTGCTTTAGATCCCAAATATGGGTGATGTCATACCATGCTTGTCTTTCTGACTCAGTATGATGATCTCTGGCTGCATCCATGTTGTTGCAGATGGCTTTCGTTCACCCTTTTTGATGGCTGTGTACTATTCCGCTGGGTGTGTGTCCCATCTGCTTTATCCATTCCTCTGCTGGGAGGCTTCATTCTTAACCGCAGAAAGCAGAAAGCCGCGCCGTACCGTCAGCGGGTGAAGAGGTGAGCAGGCCGGATGCGTCCGCACAGTGAGTGGCCTCGGCCCCGGGGAGGACTCGGCCGGCACCAAGGTCCATTCCAGGAGGCCTCCCCTCTCCCCGACTTCGCCTGGCAGCAGGCGGCCCTCCTGGGAGCACTGGCGGGTCCACGCGTCCGTCTCTCGCAGGGAACCCGGGCACCCGGGCGGCGTGTGCCCTGCAGAGGAATTCAGGTGGACAGCAGAGCCGATTAGGCTCCGTCTGCCTTCGTGGCCACCGGGCCCTGGCCGCTTCAGCCGCACCCTTGACAGCCTCCCCGCCCCCGGGGCTGGGCTCACTCTGGGTCTCAGTTCTCCGCAGTCTCTGCCTCCACGGCTGTCTGAACACCGCGGGGGTGTCGCGGGTCGAGCCATTTCCCGCAGGGAGGTCGCAGTCCTGCCTCCACTGCCTGTGAATGTGCGGGGTCGAGAATGAGGCTCTCTGTGATGTCACAAGTGAGCTGAGCCGGGTCCCTGCGGGGGGGACCTTAGGGTCCGGGGAGAGGGCCGTGGGAAGATGGGGGCGGGGGTGGGGCGTGCCTCCACCCGGGAGCCCTCAGGTCTCAGCAGCCCAGGGGCACGAGGGGAGCCCCGGAGCAGACCCCCGCTGCAGACACCCGCCGGGGCGGGGCTTCCTCCGCCCGCGGGTCCCCTGCTCTGCTTCCTGCCCTCCTCTTCTGCCCGAAGTGGATTCGGGGAACCCCTCCTGGGAGCCCAGACCCCGAGTCCACAGCGGGGCACAGCTCACTTCCTGCCCTGCGGGCTTTAAACAGCAGGTTCTCTCTGAGCCCTGGGAGCACAGAGGCTGCGCCGTGCGTTGCTGCTGCAACATACAGCACAAATCAGTGGCTCAACATGACAGACGCATCCCGGGGCCACAGGCAGTCCTCCTGGACCGGGTCTCACGGGGCCCAGCTGTGTCCCCAGAGGCTGCAGGAGAACCCATTTCCCGGCCTTTGATCTCCTAGAGGCTCCCGAGTTCCTTGGCTGGGGGCCCGACCGCACCTTCACTCCAGGGGTGCAGCTTGGGGG